GAAGGGGTTTTTACACCGAATTGTGACTGATGAAAAGTGGATCTATTTCGATAACTTCAAATGCCGAAAAACCATTTGCAATCCAAACCAACCATCGACATCGACGCCAAAGCGGAATATCCACGGAAAGAAGGCAATGCTCTGTATTTGGTCGGATCAGAAGAGTGTAGTGTACCACGAGCTGTTGAAAGCTAGTCAAACAGTTACAGGGGATCTCTACCAAGAACAAATTATCCGTTTGAGCCGAGCATTGCACGGAAAACGATCAGAATATGAAACGAGACAGCATAAAGTGATTTTGCTTCATGACAACGCTTGGCCTCACGTCACAAAACTTGTTAAGGAAACATTAGAAACACTTCGCTGGGAAGTGCTACCTCATGCGGCTTATTCATCACTGTGCCCCTTCCGACTATCACTTGTTTCGACCGATGACACACGCACTTGCAGAGGAACACTTCAATTCTTATGAAGACGTCGAAAAATGGGTCTCTGAGTGGATAGCCTCCAAAGATGAGTCATTCTTTCTCCGCGGAATTCGCTTACTGTCCGAAAGATAGGAAAAAATCATCGCTAACGATGGACAATATTTTTATTAAGGTACATTTTCATTTCGTTTTTTAAATAAAACCATACTTTTTGCAAAAAAACGGACGAACTTTCCGATTGACTTAATATATTTGATTTTTTTCGCTCTATTTTGGAGTACTAAATTTGCACTAAAACGCACTAAATTTTTGACCCATTCTGAATTTAATTTTCGATGGTGAGTGGTCCAGTTTAATAGATGTTAACAGAGAACATATCACGAAATAAAAATTACGCTAAACAATCATAGAGTTACATGATTATTTGGCGGCTCTTTCCTAAACTCTCTATTTCAATCAGTTCTCATTTTGTAATGCTTTATCTTTAATTTTTTTAAATTAAATGTTGTATTCCGTTGCAAATGTAAAAGACTCTTGAAAATAAAATACAGAAAAATACAGTCACGAGAAAAATACGTATCACTTTTTCTCGTTAATTAAATATTACGTAGACTGTTGGAAATTTCTGCAAACAATATGAAAAAAAAACATATACATTCAGTAAATGGCTTTATTGTTTTTCGAAGTATTCGCCTTTACGATCGACACATTTTTGCATACGCTCGAACCAATTTTCGAAGCATTTTTTCCATTCTAAGGCTGTAACCTCAGAAATCAGTGTACGAAACGTTTCAACAGCTGCTTCAGGCGACTCAAATCGTTCACCACGCATCTCATTTTTAATGTTTGGGAACAAAAAGAAGTCATTAGGTGATAAATCAGATGAATACGAACAATGGGTCATCAATTCGACATTATTACTGGATAAAAAATCAACGGTTTGACGTGCTATGTGACAGCTGGCGTTGTCATGATAAAGGATGAGGCGACGATTTCGGTTTGTTCTACGCAATTCATTTATGACTTCTGGCAAACAAATTGTTGTATACCAATCAGTATTTACAGTCCTTCGATCCTCTAAAGCCACATGTCCGGTATAACCGAAGAAACAAGCAATCATTTGCTTGGCAGCACTGCGTGAACGAATAACTTTTGTTGGTTTCGGTTTTGAAATACCCAAACAGTGGATTGTTGTTGACTTTCGGACTCATACGAATAGATCCATGTTTCGTCTCCTGTAACGATGTTGTAGACCAAATTTGATTTCGGTTGAATTTCTTGAGCATTTCTTTGCTCCATTTAACTCGAGACTGTTTTTGAGCTTCGGTTAAATGTGTGGGATCCAACGACTGCGAAATTTCCGTACGCTCAAGTGATCATGCAAAATCGTATGTATTGCTTTCATGTCAATGCCTAAGGATGCCTGAATCTCTCGGTATGTTATATGCCGGTCTCGCTCAATCATTTCACGCACAGCATCAACATTAATGGCAACAACACACGTGGATGGACGACCTTCACGGAATTCATTATTAAGAAGGTACGTCCACGTTGGAATTCGGCAAACCAATTATAAACAGTCCTATTGGATGATGCTTCATCTCCAAAAGCCAAATGAAGTCGATCGATGCATTGTTTCGGAGTTAGATTACATTTGTAATCGTAAAAAATCATTGCCCGAAAATTTTCTCGCGAAATTTCCATTTTCTTACAAAATAACTTCTTTTAAAATACTATGCAAACAAAAGTAGTTGGCTTGGATACAAACTGTCAATTGAATTATAGGTTAAAAACGTCTAATTTTATCAAAATTAACGCAAGATTTGAATTTGTCGCTATTTATGCAGTAAAGTGTTGGCAAAAAAAAAACAATTTAACAGCTGACAGTTTAGGGTTAGTGAAAATGGAGCGTTACACGATAGAACAACGTGTGTTCATTATTCAACAAATGGATGCTGATTTTTCGAGCAAAATCATCCTAAGCGATGAAGCACATTTTCACCTTGATGGCTTTGTTAATCGCCAAAATTGCCGCTTTTGGGGTACGGAGAACCCACATGTGATTGTCGAAAAACCAAATACATCCACAACGTGTCACTGTTTGGTGTGGATTTTGGGCTGGAGACATCATTGGACCATACTTTTTTGAAAATGAGGCTGGTCAAGCAGTGACTGTTACTGGTGCTCGATATCGCTACATGATAACACAGTTCTTTCTGCCGAAATTGGATGATATTGATGTGGCCAATATGTGGTTTCAACAAGACGGTGCCACATGCCATACAGCTCGTGAAACAATTCAGTTACTGCATGAGACGTTTCCAGGTCGTGTACTCTCTCGTTTAGGTGATCAGAATTGGCCCCCTAGATCGTGTGATTTAACACCATTAGATTTCTTTTTATGGGGTTATTTGAAATCACAGGTCTATGTCAACAAGCCCACAACCACCCGTGCATTAAAGGAGGAGATTCAACGCTGCATCAACGAAATTCAGCCACATTTATGCAAAATGGTCATGGAAAATTTCGACAAACGAGTGCGTATGTGCATGCAAAGCCGTGGAGGCCATTTGCCCGATGTGTTATTCCACAAATAACCCTATCCTATGTACTTTATGATTCAATAAAAAAATAACAATCAAAAGACTAAAAACTGTGTTTTCTATTTAATTCAAATCTTGCGTTAATTTTGGGACACTCTTTAGTAGCAGAACATTGGCGCCACTGGAAGTACTAGATTGCAGAAATTTTTCTAGCAGCCTACGTATATGTTGCATAAAAGTATATGTTCTTTTCGCAATTTACAAAGTACAATAGTATATATTGGAAGAAAATATGTATTTTTTTTGCGTTTGCAATTTAAAGATTTTATTTTATTTTATTTTTTAATACATGTGTACGTATTACTGAAGGGCAATTTATAATAAAAAATTAACAATATTGCTACTTGAATTATATTACTTATGTAATAGTTTTTTTTTTAGTTTATGTAACAGTTTTTATAGGTTTATAGGAGGTATACGCACACTTAGCGTCTTTTTTTACCTTTTTTTGAAAAGGTTATTTTTATCAACATGAGAAAATACGATATTAAAAAATTCTGAAAAAATTCTCAGAACTTTGTGAGAAGAAAAGAAACAATTTTTGTCTCTCGCTGTTTTTCTGTAAAGTTGACAAGTAGTTGAGTAAAAAATTATTGAAACCAATATTTAGCTATTTTTAATAAATAATATCTTGTTAACTATCGCGAAAATTGCAAAATGGTATAGAACTTTTTGATTCAGTTTAGTCCGTTCTCTCTGCTCACGAGCGTTGTCGGCAGAATTATTGAACGCCCTGTATGTAGATATACATAGATAATAAGTTTTACATAAAATTTAGAGATTTCCTATTATTGAATTTATATTAATTTTTAATTTGGATTAAAATAATAAGTCTAGTATACATTTCTGATCACAAAATTGCTAATAGCCACGTATACTTATATTCAATAATATATTTTCACAATATGGCGACATACTCGGACAAACCTAGTTCTATTTTTCGCTAGATATATCGATTTCGGAGTCCCGACTGTTAATCTCGTGAATATTGTATATTTAATTCAGACCACAGACGACGGACGTTTTATTATTTGACCGCGACGAATCTTCGATGAATTATTATTAACTCACGTTACTTATTGAAGATTTTTTACGATTTTTATGATACAAGAGCTCTTCTCTCTCTCTCTTTCTCTCTCTCTCTCTCTCTCTCTCCCGTCTCTCTCTTTCTCTTTCTTCTTTTTAAAAAATTACTAGTTGAAACATATAAATATTATCTTTCTGTGAATTATTTTAATTATAATGTGCCCAGTAACGCACGTTCTTCTTTATAAATTCAATTATATTTTGTTTTATGTCAAACGATTTATTTCCTTATATGCATAAAAAAGTAAGATATTAACAAGAAAATATTTTATGTCAAAATAAAAGATGTAATCTCTTAAAAAATTGTTAACTATTAGATTATTTTATTATTTGTATCTATATAAGGAATATTCTCTTAAAGTGAGTCAGTGACTTTATTGCTACACTTATAACTGATGTAATTATCAACAAATATTTAGTAATAATACATGTTTTTTAGTAATAATACATTGATTCATTTTTAGATAATAGGAGAATTAATTGTACGTAAAAGAATTTTATGTTTTCATTTAAAGGAATGCCTATTAATCATATTAATACTTTTTAAAAAATGCATATTATAAAAAATTTGTTTTATGCATCACCTTTCTCTTCAAATTATAAAACTTCCATTTGAAATATTTTAAAAGATAAAAAATTATTGAAATATTTAGGATAATTTAAAATATCCATTTTATATAATTAATTATACGTACTATAGTATAATCACTAATTATATTTGATATTTGATATAATCAATATACATGATTAGGTAGAAATATATTATCATTAATGTTATAGTTTCACATCGATTTTAGTTTTATACTAAGAGCGGTATAAAATAATAATTGTTAGCTAAATACGCGTACAAAAAGTGCTATCTAAAGATTTATGAAATGATTTTTTGTTATAGTTCAAAAAGACGGTGGTACACAATTAAAACTAGTTATTGATTATGGCGACAACATGCAGGCATTGTTTAAACCGATGCGGTAAGTATGTAGTTAATACGTATTATATTTAATATTATAATTTTTTATTCTTTTGTCTCAAACAAAAATATTATAAATAATATAAAAACTAAGGCTCAAATAATTTACAAAATTAATATAACAAAAATAGAGCTACGAGTTAAGCAAGGTCTGTTACTAAAAAACAAATAGTTTATTGTAATAAACGTTTCGACCCCAATTGGATCATTCTCAATGTTAACCTTGACACAATTTAAAAATCAACTACTCATTTAAATGACAAAATCTTGACAAAACATGTGATATGATTTAACTAGAAATTATAATAATATCATATTCATCGTTGTGAATATACTACTATTGTTGTGGATAGTGAGAATTGTTCGATATATGAATGTGAAAACATAGATACAACATTATTCATATACGTATATAAACATGAAAATGTAAATATATTACAATACTTAGTGGTCGTTAATAGTTGTCTTATAGAGTAAACTTTAAAAAGTCACAAAGGTTTAGAATTATAGACATTAACTGAATGACTAATGAAACAACTCTGAGTTTAAAATAATATTTAAAATATTATATTAATGCAATGATGAGGTATTTCAAAATTTTATCTAAATGAAATGTACAAATTTCTATAAATATTGATGATATATTAGAAATATAAATAAATATGAATATAAACATAATTTAATATAATAAATATGAATATAAACATAATAATAAACATCTCGGCGTGCGTAAGAGAGCTTCTATAACTTGAAATAAGATTACACAGATCTGCTCCCTGCTCATGTGCGTGTGTGCATACGTGAGTTCAGTTTTTTAACTAAAATCTTTGAAGGTTCGAACTGTCTCAGATGACGTTATAGCGTGTCATATGGTACACTGACTCATATCTAGGACTTTACAAGTGCGTTTGACTTGTAACAGGCATCTAAGAACGTCAATTACAGAAGAAGGGTTTTAATTACGTTTTTCAGTGATTTCCTCCTCACTCCGAAAACCCCTTTAAAATAAATAATCCTAAGTCTTGAGAGTAACGAGATTACAATAAAAAAAAAGAAACTTAACGTGCACAGGCCACATTAATTGCATTTCTATGAATATATTATCTGTCATAATACACTGTATTTGCATTATGAAAAAGTTAAAATAATAGATATTTTACTACACACTATATATTTTACTACACACACACACGCGCGCGCGCGCACACGCACACACATAGTGATGTATAGTATGTAGGACATGAAATTCTTTATATCCTGTTAATTCAATGTATAAAAATTCACGCGCTCATATAAGTACATCTAGTCTTCCTATTTGTAATATTTTGAATTGATTTTCTCGTATACATGTGAGTGCGTATATGCATGTATGTATATATATTCTGATTAGGTATCATTATATAGCACTAATTAGGAACAATTTCATGCAAATTACGACGAGAGGTTAGCTTCTATGACCTGTGAGAACGATGGCGGTGAAACCACAGAATGTCGTAAAGTTCTTGGCGTATCTTGAGATCACAGGCAGACAGCGCGCAAAATTATTTGGGCAGTTTGTTGGTGCAACGGCGCCATGAAATGTTATTACGATAACCACCCAAGTTAACATCAAAATATTGCTCAAATCGCTGTTTTAATTTCATACACAATCTATATAACGCTTTACATTTATTTCTACTATGGTTACTATAATTTATTTTAAATAAATTAAAATTCAAATTTAAATAAACGTTTAAAAATAAATGATTAATAATTTGGCTATATTTGATAAAGTAAGTAAAAAAAAAAATAATCCCTTATAGGTATCAACTCAATTATTGTTTTAATGTTTCTAACTTCTAAGTTACGTTTACATTAAAAAAAAATATCTTAAATAAAATTTTTCTGTTTTCTTTGCATAAAATCTAAAAGTGTAAAAATATAAAGTTTTATATAGGATTTTTTATCTAAAATTTCAAAATTAATTTCTTTCTTCCAAAACAAAGGCAAAAGATAATATACAATAATTTTATCATCACAAGATATTTTTTACCTCTTGCACAACTTTTTAATGATAGATCTTAAATCAATTTAAAGTTTATTTCTTCTTAGTACAGAAACGGAAAATAAATTTCTCAATTCTTAGCATAATTGTAATTACGTTAAAATTCAAAATTTTACACTTTCTTTATTAATCACTTATAATTTGAAAATGATAATTTGATAATGCGATGATACCAGTTGTAAAGTGGTTTTTGCTTTAAATTAAAGCAATTTTTTTTTTAAATTGATAATTAAAAAAGTGTGTATAAAACATTTTATATATATTGTATAATATTTGGTAATACGTTTAAAAATAAATGATTAATAATTTGGATATATTTGATAAAGTAAGTAAAAAAAAAATAATCCCTTATAGGTACCAACTCAATTATTGTTTTAATGTTTCTAACTTCTAAGTTACATTTACATTAAAAAAAAAATATCTTAAATAAAATTAAACATAAGTTGGGGGTAAAATCATACAGAGATGAGAAAATAAATCCTTATTCTATTTGATCTTGTACTTAAAATACTTACGTGTTCAGTAATTCTTGTTATATACTGTATTATTATAACATCGTTACAGAAATTATATATTTCAATATTATAAATTATATATTTCATATTGTAACATTATGCTAACTTAATGTGTAATAGGAATGATTAAAATACAAAAAAAGTAAATAAGCAAATGACATAAAATTTACATATACAGGGTCCGGCAAAATGATCCCCACATTTTAATCTTTAATAAAAACGCCATTGTAAATGCTATTTAGATTTTATTTTTATTAACTGAAAATGTATGCTATGCCATTTGTTTTTATTGAGTTTTGAAAATTACAGAGTCCAAGTGGCGACCATTTTTTTCGATACACATTCGAAGCTGATTTCTAAAAGTTTCCATCACTCGAGCAGTAATTTGAGGCGATATTCCTGTAATTTCTTGGCGTATTGCTGCTTTCAATTCGTCAATGGTTCGGGGGTGGTGTTGAAAAACCTTCGCTTTCAGGTAGCCCCAAAGGAAAAAGTCGCATGGGGCAAGATCGGGTGAACGCGCAGGCCACCCAACGTCTGCACGTAACGAGATTACGCGTCCTGGAAACATTTCC